GCTCAGCATCTGTGATCTGGACAGTATAAACAGAAGTCACTATCTTTGAGCTATGCGGATTTTACAGGGTTTTGTTTATATAATTTAAAAATCAGCAGACCTGCAAGGCTGAATGTTGCAGGATGCTTTGCAAACTGCAATCTCACCCGTTTCAGAAGCCTCCGAAGCATACGCTGAGGAATTCCCTTATTGTTGACGGATGGTGAAGGCTATTGTCAGATGACTGATACTGGCTCTCTGCCACATGATGCTGGAGCTTACAGTATTAATTAAAAACTCTAAAACAACTTGAAGAATTGCCTGTCTGAAGCTCTGATTAGCTAGGATGTCTGCCCCTTCCATACGGAGTTGGGCAAGTAATAACAACTGGGAGGGAAGCCTTTCTGCCATGCTAAAGGTTTAAGATCTGTGGCTCCATATGTAAGAAAGCCACCCTCCCAAACAGACTTTTGATGCTTGAAGCCAAAATGTGCTCACATAGTCTGAAAGGGTGGACTCTGTCAGTCCCTCAGCCAGGCACGGGAGCTGAATTCACAGATATGCCAGAATCAGGAAGGATGAAAGCAGCATGGTGGTTAAAAGCAAACTGGTAGAGTTGTGAGTGAAGGAGAGGGAAGGTAACAGCCAGCAGAGCCAAGAGCTGCTCCTGTTTATGTCAGCTTCCAATGACAGCTGGTGATTACTAAAATGGCATCATGGCCTTGTCCTCCCCAGCAGGAAAGGGGTTGACAGAAGATCTGCAGCAGAAATAACCTGAGCATGTTTTCACACAGGCTGCCTAGAAAACAATTTAACTTTCACTCTGCCCAGCTATTATCAGCAACGCCCCACAGGCATCAAGGGTGAAGTGCATCTTAAGGAGTGATTTGAAGGAGAATGGCTGGGAAGAATTTACCAGACCTTTGTTCCATACACGGAGGACAGGAAAACATGAAGGTATCTGTGTGGTAAAAGGACTAACACCTGGTACAGGCCGGCATTGCTAGCAGAGCAAAGGTCATATTCAACTATGCACTAAGTTAATAGAGCTGGAAAGAATGGATAAAGAGTTCAAAAAAAGAGCAAGGATTTTTTAGCTTGGAGCACAGGGGGTGTTATGCGAGGTTAGTGGTTGTAGGTGCAGGTTATCCTCTTTAACTATCTGGTTTGTGAATTGATGGTGTTTTTTGTTGTCTGGAAGAAAATCTCACACATCCTGGGATTTTGTTTTGGTCTCCCTCATACTGTAAGCATAATTCAGAGCTATTAAGTTGAACAGCCACTAGTTAAGCAGTTAAAGATGGGCTCTGACAGGTTTCCCAAGCTGCTTCTGAAATGTATTTGGCAAATAAATTCCTCCTCATTTGCTAATTTCAGACTTTTAAAATAATTTATCTCTCAAGTACATAACATAATGTTATTATCTTGTTCTTTACAGTCTGAGGGCAGAATCTATTTAGAACGTGAGCAGGCTGGCTATGTGCAAGTGTAAAGCTTTAGATAAAATTCACTTGCCAACCCAGAGCAGTGAAACAAACTCCCTTTCTGCTCTCACAAGCACCTGTTAAACTAGCCAAAAAACAGCCACATCCTTCACACACATTCACAAACTTACCTGAAGATGGATCCAAAGCTGTGAACTGACAGGGAGAGTCTTCCTGGGTTTCACTGGATTTGCATCAGGCTCCATATGTGTAAAGCATCAAGACTACTGAGTCTCCATCAAAGGAGTTTCCACAGCCTGTTCCATGTCTTACCCACAGCCACCCCCATAACAGCTGATCCACAAAGACAGCCTGCTTATTCTATACAGGAATGTACATTTGCAGCTTATATACATGTGCTTAACTCCACAAAACACTACCAAAATAGCAGAAAAGAGACAAATTGGCACACTCCAGACTGCTGCTTAAAAACTGTTCAAGGTGTGTTGCTGCTCTCAGTACAGAGCAGAGTAGCACATCCTCAGGTGACAATGCCTTTACCAGGTTTAAAAAAGGAGCATCTGCATTACAACAAAAAACAGTCAATAAAAAAATTACTTAAAACTTTCCCATTACATTTTTTCCCTTGATAGAATCTATAAAAACACTACTGAAAACAAAGCAGAAGCTCACATAAAAAAAAAAAAAAAAAAAAAAAAAAAAAAAAAAAAAAAAAAAAAAAAAAAAAAAAAAAAAAAAAAAAAAAAAAAAAAAAAAAAAAAAAAAAAAAAAAAAAAAAAAAAACCAATCATGCTTCAGAAGAAAACCAAGGTTATTCTCCTGAACATTTTCTCAGGAAATTCTCAAAGAAGTGGTCTGATGCTTACAAGGTCTATCAAAATACAAGGCTTCATATCTCATTCTTCCCAGGTTAAACTGCAACTTAGAATTTCCACTGCACCAGATGAATGTCCCAAATAACCACTTCTGAAGTGTCTCTTCTGTGAGGGTTATAAGGATTTCACTGGATCAACCATGAACCTATGTCTTTTATAAGCTAGGAAATTTATTTAGTTAGGGCTAAAATCACCACAGTTTACCTCACAAGTTGTCCTAACAGGAGACAGAAATACAGGAAGCTTCTTCAGAAGCATTCACTTTCTGGATAGTGTTGCTTATTTTAGCTTGTCATTTCAAACGAAAGAAACCTAAATTGATGAACAGAGATCTGAAACTTGAATTCTCCCTCTCTCCTCCTCCTCCCCACCCCGCCTTTAATCCTTAGACTTCCTTGTTGCTGTTCCAAATCTTCATCCAGCTGTGACTGGTACTTTTTGACACTGGTCCCTGGTGGTCACCTTACTGGCACTGCACCACCTTGGGAGCTCCCAGATGGAGAGCAGGAGATGGAATCACTCTATGGGCCCTGAAAAGCTTACTGGAAAGGACACCAGAATGCTCCTTGTTACAATTATTACTTCTGCCACTCCAGAATCTCTTCCCACACTTACTAGAATATACTCTGTCCTACCATCAAAAGGTTCTCTTTTCAAGAAAAAAAAATGAAATAATTATAAGCTGTTATCTTTAAACCAATGGTCATTTGTAAACATCTGGCCAGAAAATGTACTGGTTAGTAACTCTAATTCTGGCTGCCAAACTTGTGATTGATGGAACCTGTTACTTCAGAGTGGCATTTTCATCACATTTTACATATTTAAGAAAAATTCTCATTGACTTCCCATGTGATAAACAGTCTCCTGATAAATGTCTGCTTTAAATGACTTGTCCATCACCTCACAAAAAAAACTTTGTTGCAGAGGCATGGATTCAGTTAAGGCCTCCACAGCAGAATTCAGCTGTTTTAAGAGAGCATCTTGCTTCTTTCAGAACCCTTTATGTACCTTCTACAACAACTGAGGTAAGACTTCCACAGAAAGCAACCTCCCTCAGTATTTAAGTCACATCTACGTCCCAAAGCAATATACAGTCCTGTTAGCAAAGATTACCACAGTTAACAACAACAGGCTGAACTGTGGACTGTAAACCCCCAATAATTAACAAGACTACAGCCAGAAAAACTTCTCGGTGAAAGTATATTAGTCACTGCTCATTTTTCTCAGTGCCGCCAGATGTGTCGAGTCACCAAAAAAAAAAAAATAAAAAGGTGTAAAATTATCAGGAAAAGTCTGAAAACTGACCCTGACATGGACCATCCACATCAAGACCTCGATGTCTTGTTAAACCATACACTGGGCTGGGCTAAGGACAGCTGGACTCAGAAACCAAGGTAGTACCAAGGGTAGAGTTAGGCTTTTAGACTTCTGTATTAGGTAGAGATAAGTCATCATAGAAGCAACGATTTTCTAAATTGTCTGTAAACTGAGTCTTGAAAGACAGGCTTAGATGTAGACATCAGACACATGCTGTAGGTCAAGCGAGGTGAATCTCATCTCCAGAGCCAAGAGACCTGTAGAACTGTGAAAGGGAATAAGGAACACAAAACTATTGCTAATGAAGTGAAAACAAGCTGAGTGATAAGGCATGAAATTAAGAAACCGCTAAAAGTCCAAATTCTGATTGTTCAATGGAGAACTGAGATCCTCAGCTAGGTATAAACGAGCTGTTTTGTTTTGACTCAAAATATTCTAACAAGTTTGTGCATCCTTTTAATGTTTTCAGACCTGTTGCCTCAGCTGTAAACAATAGCTTGAGGCCTTAAGTAATTTAATTCCCAATTGCTTTCCCAATGCCAAATTTAAACGTATATCCTCAATATTTTGATAAAAGAGGTAGAAGGGTTTCTCAACCAAGAGTTTTGGAATAGTTTAAGGCATTCAGCCTTATGGAGTGATTGACAAGAACTATGTGGTGGCCATCATCTCCAACTGTATTTGTAGCTAGAAACACATCAGGAGAACATATTCCTGTAATTTTGCCAAACTGGACACTTATTTTCCACCATTGCTTGTACAATCTAAAATTTGCAAAATGACTGTACATAAGCCTTTGGTGACCTTTAACAAACATTAAATTATAAAAACACATAGCTTGCCTTTTTCTGAAATCATCCATTTGCAAAGAATATGCAGGCACCAAACTTAGACCAGCACAAAAAGCACTTGCACTCCAGTAATCTGATAAGAAGGCTGAGTGACCTTTTGCTGATCTCTGATGAAACAATGAGGTACATAGTTGGGATTTATCCTGAAGTACACCACAGCACTACTCCATATTATCAAAAATGAAAAACTGTAGCTTTTTTGAAACTGACAACTACAGGCTCATCTCTTCAGGGCTAGGATTAAACGTGGTATTTTTAAAAGCATCCAACCTCCAGGTTTAGAAGATGGAGACAAATTTTTCTGAGTATTCAAGTGCATAACACACAGTATGCACTAAGTCCATTTTCCATAGTGCTTCACTTTCTTTGATTTAAATAAGAAGCCCTTCAGCATTTTGAAATTCCCAACTGTAACTTCGTAGTATCTTCACATATTTTTATGCATATTTTATGCAACTAACTCTTCTCTTAAAAGTATCTACTGCCTCTAGTCACTTTATCCACAAAAGAAGTTCGTGCAATGACATTTAATGGTTCCACACTTAAATTTGAGACACCCAGCATGAGGATTCATAAGTGCAAACTAGGGGCACACATGGCTTTTAGGATTTACAGGCTCAGCAAAATATATACTTCATCCCAAGACGTTTCACCCCAGCCACCCATGTCCAGCCTCCCCATAGAAGGAATGATCATGGTACAGATACAGAACTCAGATAACTAACTTCGATTACATACCCAAATTTTAAAGGCCAAATTCGGGTATGATGAATCAGAAAAATTAGTCATCCACAGTGGAATCCACCTCACTTGGCATCTATAAGTCAGGCTTGAAATCCGTTGTGTATCTTCTGCCGAGAACTGATGGAGAGCAATGGCTCCCAGTGAGGAGATTTGTTCCATCCTGACAGAGGTGTTGGATGGGCACAGAATGAATCACTCTCTGCAGGTGTCTCTTGTTCTCTCATCCTATTGACTATAGAGAGATTAGACACAAAACCTCTAAATAGCTAAGATAAGGTGAGATGAACCTCACCCTCAATAATGGGTGAGTTTGCCAGGCCAGGCCCAGCATTCAGGCTTCTTGCCATCCAGGAGATGCCTCTACCCCTGAGCTACAGTGTCAGGCTCCCTCTTGTTTATAATCCCTCTGGCCCTTTGAAATTTGCATCTGTTTCTTTTACTGTGGCAAGCTTGAACAGGATGGGTGGGTGTCCTCCACCTTAGCCTTATCTCTGGTCCTTAGGGTTGCTTTGCAAGCAGGAGAGAGCTTATATCACCTCTGATGAGGGGAACATTGAATCTGAATCTCTCACTTCCAGGACAAGTGCTCTCATGAGAAAAACTGCTTATGAGAAAGCAGCAGTTCTTTTCCTTCTCTGCCCCTGAACTTTCCGGCAGCTCCAGCTGCTGTGCTTTGTGCTAAGCTCCATGCTGTCAATGTGCATTTAACCATGATCTTGAGCACACCTCCTGGACCAGGCCTCTCCAGAGATTTAGACACATACCTATTTTGTGATTCCCAGGTGGGTTTATGCAGGAGACAAACACTAAGAAAGTCAGCTTAACCTACATAATGCTCAGTCTGGGCCTATAAAGAAGCAAAGTTTTAACAGCCTGCGAAACTGGAACTCACGTGGTTCAGCAGGACTTGTGAGGGCGCACACGCATTTGGGATGTGGTGCAGGTATTTTGCTAAACTGCACTTCCAGTACTCAAACCCTGAGTGGAATTAGGCTTTCCTGACCATAGAAAATTATGGTCTATATGTTAGTTTAAAAAGACTGAGAATGCTGTGGATCCTGTCTTGATACAACCTGTAACAATAGCTTTTGTAAAGCACTGAGTACTACCCGCTTAATACTACAAGGCTTTCCACCATGGAACTGAGGTTTTCTTCCTGAAGCCAACAGGAAGGCGAGATTATAGACTGACCAACAACTAGTCACTAGTCACTAGTGCCAGTCGCAGTACAGACCCAATTTATCCTCTGTGCTCATGAAACATTATTACTGAGCAAAACCAAAACACACAGAGCATACTACACAAGCGAATCTGTATATGAAATTATCATAACTTTATATTTTGGGAGGTGGAGGTGTAGCCTTAAACCATACCTGCAACAGATTTTCAAATCTTCTCCCACCAATTCAATTCCCAGTCCCTCCTTTTTTTCCAGTGAAGTTATGCCAAGCATTTTGTCATCTTATTCCCATAGACCTATACCTAAAAATCACAATCAGGCCAAAATGGGAGACTGAGGGAAGTTGGACCAGCCAGCCAGATAATTAACAAAAGGAAGAATAAGGCCATTTTTATTCCTTGGTTTATTCCTTACTGTATGTGAGGTTCTGTTAGTAACCTCTTGCCTGGCCCCTCTCTCTTTTCTATCCCGAATAGATTTTCCAGAGAACTGGTGGGGAGTGCAAAATCTGCAACATTTTAGACCTACATTAATTTAAAGGTATCACTAGAAAAGCTACGCCAGATGAAAACCATCTGCTACATAAGGCATGTGCTAATAAGTGAACTTGCTTGATCCCAGACTTTAGCACAACTATGTTAAGCTAGAGAGCCACCTAACTGGTTCACTATAAACACTTCTAGAGGACAATGTGTAACTTAATTAAAATGTAGATATTGCATTAATAAAATAAATTTTTTTAAAAATGTAAGAAACATATTTGCCTTTGATTAAAAACATAATAGTTAATACATGGATCTCACACACCTTATACCGGTAATACTTACTCTGATAGAGAGATGCTGGTCTCAGAAAGATTTCATGTCATTGTTCTTCAAGTAGGATAAGGTAAGCAATGATCCCTTACAGGTGACAGTTTATGTAGAAATGCCTTCAGGGCTCTGGTCCTACTTGAAGAAATGAGAAAACCTAGAAAACAGAAGAAAACATTAGTATTGAAATGTCTGAATTTGTATTAGATAAAAATGCAGCAAAACCATGCAATTCACATTGAAAACACCTCTCTTTCCAAGGTGGTGATAGAAAATAGTTTAAAGCATTTGACTCCAAAACAATAGTTTAGGAACCTGATCATAAAATGATGCCAATGTCAAAACATAATCTGAACAAAAGCCTGCCCATCCTATATCACACTTCTAGTGAAAATGGAAATGTCTCAAAAGAATGAAAAAACATTTATGTTTTGCTACAGTATGTCCCAAGCCTGCAACAACGTGCTGTTTGGGATTAACAGCAGCAGACGAGGGACGCCTAAAAGTGGGGATGAAGGGAATGATACTGAACAAAAGCAACATTATTCAAAAGCAGAGAGGAGAGGAAAAGAGATCTTATAAGTTGGCAGATCCATGGCATTTGCAAATACGGGCCAGAAAAGAATGGAATTTGGAAATGGGACTCAGAGAAGGTGCATCCATCTGTTACTTGATGCAAAACACGGAGGGGCTCAGAGTGGGGTGGGTGGAAGCAGTGGGTATTCTCTTGGCCACTGAAGGTACCTGGAAGTGAGGGGGAGCAGTGACGCCCAGCCCTGCCGCCCTGAGAGCCGGTGTCGGCAAGCACGACTCACGCTCCCAACATGTTTGCTATTCACAAACAGCGCCGGGAGCAGGGGGATGTCACCCAGGGGCCCCGCTCCCCAGCCGGTGGTGCACGGCAGCAGCGGTGTCCTGGGGCCGGGGGACACCGGCTGCAGTCGCACACGGCAGCACACGCGGGACACGCGCGTGGCGGAGGGACAGTGGCCTCAGCCGCGCCCCTGCCAGCCGGGTCTGCAGCGCCGGGGACGGCGGCAGGGGGAGGGCCGCTGCTGGCGTGGTGAGGAGTGAGCAACGAGGTAGGGAAAAGTGGAAATAGAATTTGAAAGAAAAAAAAAAAAGGAAAAAAAAGTCCCTTCCCCCAAGGCAGCTGTGGAGTGCGCTGAAACCCCCTTTTAGGCACAATCAGCCCCGAGCATCTGGGCAAGGATGAGGTGGGTGCAAAGTGCACGGGGAGGAAATGTGTCAGCTGCAGCATCCGAGAGCAGCGGAGCAAGCTCAGACGGGAAATGAGCTTGCGAAGTGCACCCGACAAGATGATCGCGGGGATAAGTTGCTTCTATGGAAACTACAGCCCGATGAACCAAAAAAACAGTTTGATGGCAAAGTTTTAGCAGGAGCCGGCTCATGCCTGGTTTCAGCTACATTCCCCACCCCCTGAAGAAAAAAAAAAAAAAAAAAAAAAAAAAAAAAAAAAAAAAAAAAAAAAAAAAAGAAAAGGGGGGGGAAGGAAAAAAACGGGGACATAGGTTTTTTCCTGTATGGGCTACATCATATTAAGCTGTAAGTTTAGTTCTGGACAAACAATCTCTTGTTGCATCTCTGCGATGGAGGTTAATGAATTCCCACAGATGATGTTGGCCAAACAGTGGTCGGCTTGTGACTTGATTTCCAGCATCATGATGTGAGGGGATCAGTATAGAAAAGCACTTTGAAGGGAAGAGGCTGCCTACAGCAGGATTGTTTCTACAAGCTAATTGTACTGAGTGCAGCTGCACAAAGCTGGATCAACAGTAATAGAAGGCGGCGCAGACTTCCTGACGCCAGCCCCGCAGAGCTCCCACCAACAGCCTGGCAATTCCAGATTGTTTTCCAGACCTTATCTCTCCCCCAAGTTTTTTTTTTTTTCTTTCGCCTTTTTTTTTTTTTTTTAATTTTGTGACCGGAACAAAAGTAACAGGAAAATCCTTTGTGAAAGTAGAAAATGCTGTTACAGATCGGTGCCTTTCGCAGAAGTTGTAACTAAATATTTTGCATGCATTACTCTCCCTCCCGCTCAAAAGAAAGAAAAAAAAAAAAAGCCAACTCCTAAACTTCTAAAACTTTTCTTTGAATGAACTGGAAACGTGAGGCAAACAAAAAGGAGCGGGTAGTTAAAAGCGACCGGGTTTAGCGAGATATTTTACCTGGTAAACTGAAAACTCCTGTATCAAAACATATTTGGACACCCCACTTGGACAGGCTGGTTGGTGTCAATGACTTGGAAAGGGGCCAATTTTAACAGATTTTTTTTTTTTTTAGTCTGTTTTGATGGCTTAAGTACGCGGTAATTAAAGCCATTTACATTATTACTGGATATTTTAGATAAATTTCATTAGAGGCAGGGGACGCGAACGCGGAGGAACTCGCTGCTCGCGCAGCCCCGCGGGCTGTTCCCGCAGCCCCTCGCCCCGCACACGCCCCCGAGGGGGACCCCGGGCTGAGAAGACCTTAGAAGGCGAAAGGATAGCCTTCAAAAAAACCCGTGACTTGTTTTCTTCGTAGAAAATACTTTTTCTTTGGGGGGGGGTGGGGGGGGTGAGGGGGTGTTGCTGGTGTGGCAGCACCCAAGCGCACCCCAGCCCGGGAAGCTCGACCCGGGCCCGTGGGGCCGCCGGGAGGGGGGCGAGCGGCGCCGGGACCTTTTCCGCGGACGCGCCCCCTTCATCCCTCCGCGATTTTCCCCCGTTTTATTCTTCCCTTTCTGCGGGCTCCCCCCCTTCCCACATTCCCTCCTCCCCCCCCGCGGCATGGCGGGGCGTCCGGCGGCGGCCCCCGCTGCAGGTGCGCCCGGGAGGGGGAAGCGGGGCCGGGCGGCCGCCGCGGGCGCAGCCCCGGTCGCCATGGCAGCCGCCTGAGCGGCGCCGCCGGGCCCGGGCGGTGCGGGCGGGGGGGGCGGCGGCGAGGGGCTGATGTCACGGGGCTGGCGCCGCGCAGTCCGGGCCGGCCCCGGGCGCGGGGCGGGGCGCGGGGGTGGCGGGGGGGGACACGGCGCCCCCAGGGCGGCCGCGCTCTCGCCGCCGCTGCCGCGCACCCGGAGCCGCCCCAGGCTTGGCGCCGGGCGGGCCGGGGCCCCCCGCGCCCGCGGAGCGCAGCCCCGCGCTTCTTATTTTTTTTTTTTTTTTTTTTAAGGAGAAAGCGGCGCTTTCTGCGCGGCTCTGGGCGGCCGTGGGTCCTGCCAGATGTTTGCAGCGGCGGCGTTTCGGGGGTTGGGAGCCGGCTGTGAAAATCCCGGCTGAAAACTATAGAGAGGCGAACGCCCTGCTCCTGAGGCACCCGGAGCTGCCTGGTACGGGCCGGGGGGAAAAGCCCCCGAGGAGCAGCTCGCAGCCCCGATGGTTTCGGGGGCCCTCCCGGAGTTCCCCCCTCGGGCAGCGGCAGAGCTGCGGCTGCCGGGACTGCGCGCGGAACCTGCGTCGGAGCGCAAGAGCTTCCAGAGCTTGTGAGCCCCTGCCAAAGCTGTCAGGGCTAAAAGATCAGAATTGTGGGAAAAAAGCCACTTCAGCCGCTCGCATGGGGGAAGAGCAGCTTGCTCGCGGGCTCTACTTTGCGTGCAGAAAGCGCACATGATAATCATTTGATGACACAAAAAATGGTCAGGTTAGTCTCTCCGCACAACCTCCCGGTGTTCTTAAAGCCCTCGCTGTAGAAAACGGAAAGCATTACCACAGGGTCTTCTACAGCGCCCGGCTGGCCGGCCGGTGCTGCCGCGCTGCTGCGCTGTCCAAGCACGACAGCGATGGGAAAAGCATGAACACGTTGGCTATTATTACACCAGAAACATTGTCAAAATTTCTTCCAATGGTGCCTTCATTAGACAGAAACGCAATCATGTTGCAAGATTAAAACCTGCGGCCGCAGGCCAAGTACCCTCACCAGTTGATAGTTTATCGATGTAAAGGATTAAAGTCGCTCTCAGTAGTGACTTTAATCGAGTCGTTAATTGGCAGTGTTACTGTAACTAATAATAATAACAGTAACAATAACAATAGTTCTTACTATTTACTTTCTGTAACTGCATTTGAACAGTGTATTTGTCTTCCTATCAGATTGAATGTCGAGATTCACTTTCACACTTCGCGTTTCAAAACGCGTTGAATTGTGTTCCTGTCAGCTTCGGCACCGCCTCCAGTCCACCCCCGGAGAACATCCCCGGGGCAAACACCCTGGTGTGACAGTCACCAAAGTGTCCTGCTAGAGAATAGCCAACCATCAGCTCAGGAATGCCACGTTAATTGGAAAAAACACTGATGCGGCTCTTCTCAGCTTTGTCTCCAAGTGTCCGTAATGTTCCTCTCCCACAGCCCCGGCTCCCTTCGCGTAGCTACGCAACAACTGTGCAGATATATCCAATATTTGTCTGCTTTTAATAGTTATGATTGACAGCACAATCCTCACTGATTTTATGGATGTGTGCCGTTACTACGGTTTTGTTTGCAATGAACGCTAATGTACTTTAGCATCCGTGTGGTTATTACAAAATTGCTGCGATTTGTGCAGAATTTCATTTGTATTAATTGTATATATGTATGTTCACACTTTCGTGAGTTGAGCTTTCCTCAGGTAGTATGTGAAGTGGGGGGTGAAGGCTGTGTCCGTTTGTTACACAGCCGCTAGTATAAGCAAAATATAGGAAAAGACAGCGGAGCTAAACTTAAAAATAAAATCAAAGTCACTTCTCCAGCTAAACAACAACAACAAAATAAATTAACTTTTTTCTCTGGAATGTTTCTGGAAGATGTTTCATTGGCTGCAGCCAAAAGCTGCTAAAAGTACAGCGTGTAGTAAGTATTTGCATTTGTCACCAGAAACAATCTATGCATAATTAATGGCAGTACTGTGTCACGAGCACTGATAGGGCGCAGATGAGCAGCCTTTCAAGGGTAATACATGTAAATGCACTTCCAATATGCACATTTGCTTAATGATCTCCAATTAATAGTATCATCTGAAGTAGTCCTGTTCTCGGGAAGCAGGGCGCTGGAAACAGCGCCTGCCTGCCTGACTGGCGGGGTGTTTAGTGTCCCGTTCTCATCAGGGCAGAAAGTTGCAATGAGCTTTAGAGGTTTATTTAATCTTGATTTATCTCATTCCCGCTTACACCCGCAGCCTACAGCGCTGGGCTGCTGACCCGGTCAGTGATTTACGGGACCGTGTGTTGACTGGGTTCACAGAAACACCGCCAGGATGCTCCAATTCACGGCGACTTGGAGAAAGCTCAGCCCGCACCACCGCTCTGCAGCGAGGTCTGCGCGTCCCGCACCGCCAGCCCCGCACACTGCAGGGTCTGTGCGGAGGGCATGGTGGGACACGGGGCAGTGCAGGGTACAGAACAGAGCCACGAAAACCCCACGACAACACCCACGACGACCCGCGCTGCCCGCTCAGCCCCGCACTATTTACTGCCCCAGCTGTGCGCGCGGCCACGCCCCCCGCCGCGATTGGCTGCGCGGGCGGAAGGCCCCACCAGTGAGGACGCGGCGGGGTGATGGACGCGGCGGCGGCGGCCAATGGCAGCGAGCGCGGGCCGGGCCCGGCCGAGGCCGCCGTATAAGAGCGAGCGCGCAGCATCGGCCCTCAGAGCGAGCTCCGGCAGCGCCCGAGCGGGACGGCAGCGCCAGCCCCCGCAGGCTCCGGTCCGTCCGCTGGAATCGCGCTCTTCCGCCCGCCTGCCAGCATGAAAGCCTTCAGCCCCGTGCGGTCCGTCAGGAAAACCGGCCTCTCGGAGCACAACCTGGGTATCTCCCGCAGCAAGACCCCCGTGGATGACCCCATGAGCCTGCTGTACAACATGAACGACTGTTACTCTAAGCTGAAGGAGCTGGTCCCCAGCATCCCGCAAAACAAGAAGGTGAGCAAGATGGAAATTCTGCAGCACGTCATCGACTACATCCTGGACCTGCAGATCGCCTTGGACTCGCACCCCAGCATCGTCAGCCTCCACCACCAGAGACCCGGGCAGAATCCTTCCTCCAGAACTCCTCTGACCACCCTCAACACAGACATCAGCATTCTCTCGCTACAGGTACGTGGCTCCCCGGCTCTCCGGCTCGCCGCTGACCTGGATCGGGGAGCTCGGGTAGCATTAACGATGTCCCTGTCCCCGCGGCGCGGTCCCTGTCCCCGCGGCGCGGATCTGTGCAGACGTGCCATGGGGGAAGCGCTGCGGCACCCGGGACACTCCCGCTCCCGGCTCCCTGAGTGTTCGGCCACCTCGCCCTTACCGTGCTCTTTTTTTCTTGTCACAGGCGTCCGAGTTCCCCTCAGAGCTCATGTCAGGCGACAGCAAAGCACTCTGTGGCTGAACCGAACGGTGAGTGCAGTGCGTCTTATTTCTAAACTTCGCGTAAAAAGTTCCTCCCTGGGGAACGGGAGCCGTGATGGTTAGTGCCAAAAATCTGTCCTAAAAGTTGTTCAGGAGATGCCTTTGTAATTACTAAGAAATAAGGGTAATAACTGGGTCGTAAGGTTCTAAGCGTGTGTGTCGCTGAGGTTCATCCAGCAACACAGGCTGCTCTGATCCTGCTCGCTCCTTAATGCAAGTTCTTATCTGTTCTTGGAGTCTTAACTTCCCGGGCCAAAGTGACTGATTAAGTCGGGAATCTTGGCAAAATTCCTTAATTCTGTGATGTGGGATTGTCTGCGCTATCAGTTAAATAAATGACTGCTTTTAATCAAATAATTGCTCTAAGAGGCAGACTGGCGCCTCTGAGCATTGCGTTTACAGAGATCTAAATAAAGATTGGACTGAGAATCCTCTTTTTACCCTTTCCCTGGAGTGTATGTTATTTTAATGTTCAATCTGTGTTCTTGAGAACGAGTGTGCGAGCGTGTATGTGTTGCATCTGGACGCCAGGGTTTGCCCAATCTCTGAGTGTTTGGTTAAATGTTCAAACTGTGGCTTCCTCTCTGGCGCCAGTCTGTCCGGATCTCTGCCCTGTTAGCATTCTCCTAAATATGCCTCTTTTCAATCTCTTGCAGGTGTTCCACTGATGAGTTGTGTTCTTTTTTTTTGTTGTTTTTTTTTTTTTTTTTTTTTTTTTTTTTTTTTTTTTTTTTTTTTTTTTTTTTTTTTTTTTGTTTTTTTTTTTTTTTTTTTTGAGGTGCTGAATTTATTTTTCAGCTGTATCTGGAGGAGAAGATCCACGTTCGACTAAAAGGACCTTTTAAAATTAATAAATAAGAAAAAAATCAAGATTGACCTTTATCCCCACCCCATTTTTCAACTTGGACTGAACCTAGTTATTTATGAAGAGACTCTTTAATACCCTTTCCCTAGTTGGAAGGCTTCCTTTATATACTATTCCCAACGTGGGGAGCGAAACAAAAATCTCACAAGGAGTTGCCCATTTTAAAGCAGACTTTGCCTTTTTTTCCAAAGGTGGAGCGTGAGTACCAGAAGGATCCAGTTTTCAGTTTTTTAGGAAAGTCTGTGGTCAGAAATTACCTTTCTGACACAAACCTAGGACTGAATGCTGTGTATATATTTATATATAAATATATATATATGAGTGAAATCTTGTGAACTCTTTAATTAGAGTTTTCTTGTATAGTGGCAGAAATATACATTTCTGCAAAAAGTGTAATGATGTACTTAATCATGCTAAACTTTTTATAAAAGTTTAGTTGTAATCTTAACCCTTTTTATACAAAATAAATCAAGTGTGTTTATTGAACTGATTGCTTGCTTTATTCTTTGGGGACCAACTGTTTGCTGGCTTTGATTTGTGTTGTGTTTTTGTTGTTTGTTTTTTTTAATACTTACACATTCTGTTATGACTTTTATCAAGTAAAAATTAAAATATGTAGAGAATATAAAGAATAAAATTACCTTAAGTGACTAATTCTTGTAACTTGGAAAGTCTTATTTGAGCGTATATTGCAAACTTCTAAGTGATCTGCCTGTAAGCAGTGTGAAAGGAACTAGGTGAGGAATTTATTACATGGGATGCTATTGACAAAAGTGTTTGGAAATGTACAAAAGCAGTCAATCTTGAGACATTCCCATGGAGTATTGCCTGTTTTCTTCCCTCCCACCCCTATGAATGATTTAGTTCAGGGTAGTAATGGCCCAGATCTGGTAATTTGTGTTTAGAATAATCACTAAGAATTCAGGGTTGTGGGTGGTTATTAGTTCCCCAATGATTAAATTTTTCTAAAAAGGCTTTGAATGTGAGGGTTGGTGATGCGTTAACATGGGATCTAGAATGATGAAGTGACTGTTGCCTTTCCACACTGGAATTTTCATGCTTCCATGCAATATTTCAATGAAATGGGGTTTCTAATCAGTTGCAGCAGCTTCTCCATATGACTAAGATACTGGGAATTGAGCTAAATCGCTGTTGTGTTACTGATTAAACTTTGGCTGCTCCTACAGGGACTCTCTCCATAAGAATTAAATTAAGTTTGAAATAGGAGTCTAAATTCCTGAAAGCCAGCAACAGTTTGTTTCTTCTTTTCTCTTTTGCCCTCGGAAGCTATGCTATAATATCCCTTATTCAAGGGATGCTTACTGTACCCTATGGAACTACTGTCCATTAGATATGTTTAGTTGTCATAAGACAGTAAATGTGGGAACTGTGCCTTATCAGATGACATTCTAAATTAAGCTTACTCAAACTTCCCTGAAATGGGAAGTAAAGCTGTGGGTCCTGCTTAGGAATTGAAGAGTCACTTGAAATTGGAACAAAAAAAACTTCACTGCTGGTTTAGGTAAGTACAGCTCTCTGGCAGGCACTGTGCTTTGGGCCTGAGAGAGCATGTTAAGGGTTCCTGTGCTCTGGGGACTCTTAGCGTGAAAGGCAGGAGCCTCACCTGGGGCCAGTAACACTTTCACCAGCGAACAGGTGGGTGGGTGGTGCTCTGGGGCAGCAGCAGCTGCCTTCCTTGCCCTTGACACCAAATCCATTCACGTAGGCTGGGAGAAAGCCAGCTCTGATCTCTTAATACTGACGCTGCCCTGCCCAAGCAGAAGCGCGCCCTCTCAGAGGATCAATGCAATCAGAAGACAAGAAGGGTTAGCAAAAGCTGGGACGGGGCGGGGGGTGGAGAAGGACACGGCCCAGAGCTGATCTGCATCTCACCCTGCCCAGCCCCGCAGGGATCAGGGAAATCTCTCCCTGCAGCGCACACCGGCTGTGGCCTCCTGTGGCCAACCCTTGCTACTGTCTCAGTGCCCGGAGAGCACGGCTTGTTCCAGCTTCGTGCAATCAACGTTTAACCCTGACAGCCCAATACTGAAATACTTCAGTGCCGCAACTTAGCACGCCTCAGTCCCTCAAATACTCCTTTTCCTGTGTATTTTACTTAACCCTCAACAGTTGCACATTCGGGATTGTAATCACAATATTCAGATCTTTGTCGTTCCAAGCTAGTAACAATCTAATGCAATTGCCACTAACTTCACCGTCAAAACTAATTTTTCACCCTACTGCTCATTTTAGGGTGAGACCACAGTAAGTGTCACTTTAAACCTGCAGTTCAGTTTATAAAATGAAAGAGCTGCAATGGTCACATCACTGGAATTATTTTAAGATCAACCCCTTTAGAAACTAAGGCATTTACACTTCGATATTTTTAAACTACGGGATGATTAACACACTTGTAGAATGAAACCGATTTCCTTATCATGCATAGCCAAAAGAGAAATTCACAATTTACAAGGCGTGGGGAGCTGAGCAGGAAAACAAACAAACATGTTTTAAAAAATGTAAATTGAGAAAAGAAAAAAATTTTCCTCTTTCAGGATTAACTAATTCCTTGTCTTGACAATACATTCCTATGATCAGAACTAGGGGCTTAAGCTAGGTGCTCACGTAGAGATTCAGTCTTTCATTTTGTTCTTATGAAAGATTTTACCACTCAAAGATAAACAGCAAGGTCAAAACTGAGTACCCAAAGCCTTAACATTTATTCTTGAAGTTTCTTTAAAGATGTGGGATTTCTTTATTCTATAGCATTATCATTGTCCCCCTAGAACACGTAAGAAAAATCTGTGGTATTTTCACCACTTTCCCTGGCCCATTTACTGTCTCTGGACACAGCTGTTGCCAACAGCCCTGTTAACTGAGTAGCTGAGCACAGTAGATTAGGACCTGCAGTCAACGATGTTATAGCAAAATATTGTGGGCAATAATCCCATTTAAACTCTGCAAGATCTTTTTGAGTAGGCCACGTATGGAAGTTGCAAATGCTCCTATAGGCACTTCCCCATGGGGGAAAAAAAAACAGAGATGCAACAAGAGGACTCTTCATCCAGAGGAGAGGTTTCCCAACCTGGCTTTTCTTGGTTTTTGCCCTTAACAACATATGGCCCAGCTCCCAATCTCATCCCAGCCAGAAATCGACGGGCTCACACCCATGGGTGTCCCTCCTGCCCATCTCCGGGTAAGGGAACGCACAGAGCAGGCTGGGGTTTGTTTACTCACTACCGGGAAAACAGCACCGTGCCTATGGCACCAAAACCATTCAGAAGCCACTTTGCAGAACCGGTGCCAATATTTTAACAAAAAACACGACCGAGAGCGCTGACTCCTAGCAGAGGCAGCACCTTTAAGCTGCCTGCGCTCCGCGCTGGGCTCGGTCCCGCCGCGCGGGGCGGGCGGTGCGTGGAGGTCCAGTGCCACCCTCCGGGCCGGCCGAGCACCGCAGCGACACCGCCCGCACAGTGACACCGACCCGCACAGGGATCCCTGCCCCGCACAGGGACACCCGCCCCGCACAGGGACACCCGCCCCGCACGCCCTTCAGGGGCTGCCATCAGCGCCCAGGTCTCCCGTCATTATTTAAAACGCCGTTTTGTACTTGCTTCTGGGAAACGATGCTTTAGCAAATTCAGCCCTGCTGGCTGGGAAGTTCGTTCCTAAGAAGTGGTACGGTTCGTGAAAGCGTGAAGAAAAAGCTGCGTTGAAATAATAAATCCTTTGCTTGTACCATTATGGGGAAAAGCACCGTTTGATTAGCACTAATTTGTATTTGATTCTGGAAAGTAAAACATGTTCTCTAAACAATCTGGTTATGTGTTAAGGATTCTTCCATACAACAGTTTGCAGTCTGGATCAATTCACACAATGTGGGAGAGGGATAAAATTATAATTTACTAATGAGAATTATCGTATTTGTGATTAAGCATCTCTTCCTGTTTACCACTGCCCTTGCTTACTTACAACAAGAAATGATTTACACAGCTTTTACTGAAGCCGTAAGGAAAAGGGATAACAATGCAACTGCTGCATGACAAAAGATTCAGTAAACTACATAAATGCTGATATTCAATTTTATTCAGAAAAAGATTTTCAAAAATGTACTCTTTAAAACTACAGTTTTGTAAAAGGATCAGTATTTCCTGATTCTACAGATAAATGAAAATGTTGATCTTTGAAATCAAATTTGTTTTATCCACATTACCATAATTCCCCTCTAGAACAGCCATATAAGTTATCATAATTTGAAAATGTAGGAGCCAAATGCAAACACTATCTCAGTAAAACAAAACTGATATTGCACAGCAACAGTCACTGATTGTATGAGCCTGAGTTAAAGTGAATTGAAGGACAAAACAAAGGACAAAACTAACAAATGCAATTTTGGAGTCAATCCTAGTAACTGAGAGGAATTCATATTCCAGATGGTTACTTGATTTGAAAAAAATATTCAAAAAGGGGAGACTCTGGGCAAAAACTATAAATAGGGCCAAACTGAGAAAAAATAATTGCACAGGAAGTGGTACAGTGGAATCTGCTGCTGGATGCCCTAGAAGACAGTCCTTTAGTTGCTATTTCACAAGAACATGACGAATGGATAGATAAAATGACGTTATATGAAGCTACCTATCCAGATTTGAAACAATTAAACTAACTACATTCCTTGCCAAAAAGAATAAGTTTTTATAATTTCTAGTAAATATCACCACAAATTACACCACGTCTGTGGTGAACACTTTATGAATACATCAGGTATTTCTACTTAAAACTAACAGCCTGAAACAGCTCTTAAGTTTTACTACTGATGGCAGAACTTCAAAAGCTCATTTAGAGTTGGGATTTTTTTTTTTTAATAACTGGATTGTATTTTTGCTGAATTACTCTTTTATTTGGAAGAGAACAAATTATTTGGGTACTTACCGTCTTGCAGATGAGCAGACACAGGATCAGCAGTACTGCCTCACTGAAGCCCATCTCATGCAGCCCTCTTGCTAACAGCTGCAGTAACTGATGCTTGGGAATGAGCACAAGATCAGCTTTGGGTGGTACTTCCTCCATGTATTCTCAGCATCTCATGTTCTCCTAGAACAGCTTTCCTCATATTTTTGGCATGTGGATTCACTTTGATGTAGTTTGTCAATACAGAACTTGAATATCCTTCTGGATTTATACCTGTCATTTTTTTTCTCATCCTGAGAAGAGATGTAGAGCTCTAAAGGGGGAGAGAGAGGCAGGAAGAAAAAGGGAGGACAGAGATAAAATAAGACTAAATATTTCCTGTATGTTAGACTGGAAAAGAACAAAGTAGCATATCTGGCCTTAAAAAAACAATGAAGTTGAAGTTTGAGTTGTGTTTTCCGTCTTGTGCAAGTTTCTTTCACCTGGAGTAGAGAGCCCAACCTCCAAACCAGACAGACTATGTCACTCAAGGACACACACACAACTGAGCTGGTTTGGCTGTGTCTGATACCAGCACCCCAGGGAAATGCAATGTCTTAAAAAAACTTCAGAAGTGTCCTTCAGTCATATTTTCTGTGAATCTCTTTGCTTATCCACAAGTTCTATGTGGCCTTTTAGAAATCTGTGCAGTACTTGAAGGGAAAGAATGTGGTTATGGTCTACTATAAACCAAGGTAGAGAGCAGAGAATACAGGAGAGCTTGTGTTCACAACAGATGCTGCTGCTGAGATTTCTCCCATGCTCAGACCCAGCACTAAGATATTAGTGCCCTCTAGAAAAGGCATAATCTCACAGAACATTAGAAAGACACAGACTTACCTCAGTGGAAATGGGAGAAAATGTTTCTCAAGGACATCATTATGCAGGAGTTAACTACAAGAGATGTGGTAGTTGTAAGATACTTATCTTCCAGAAAAACTGCTTAAGCTGTATTTCGTAACTTCTTGGGAAATTATCTCCTTTCTGCTTTTATATTTCTCCTCATAAGTATATGACAACACAGTGCCACTGCTAGGGGTTTGCCTTTTTTAATTAAAAAGTTTGTGTAAAACGCATCAAGTAAATCTCCCATTAGTACTTTTCAAAAGATATAACAGTTAGAAAGCTGAGTAAATCACATGCCAAATCTAGGAACTCAGTCTAGCTCTTCTTAAAAAGCTGTTTTACAGCAGATATTTATTTCCTCCCAATAGGTATGAAGGTGTTACAAATGTGGACATATGCTATTAACTAATCCTTACTGATTCCCATTTTGTTCAGATTATCCCATTGTTGCTCTTACCACTCTTATAGGAAAAGCTGGAAGTCTTGGTTGGGCCTCATCCTGTAACTGTCAAGACATCACAGTATCTATGAAATTAAATTCTAAATTCCACCATAAATCTGCTTCTTCAGTCTTTCAAAAAATTTAAGTTCCTTGGAGCTGGAATTTTGTGACTGAATTATTTTAATTCCTGCACCTACCTATGTCTAAAAGTCTAATATAGAAGAAAAAGCTATGCTTAGAGGAAAAATTTGGAAGTCTGGACCTTTGTAGTAAACATATACATAAAAACTGTATGTTATGTACACACGACATCCAACAAACAATTAGCAGTTTATTGACAGCATGAAAAAAATTCTTACAATCTGAAAATCTGAAACAGAGTGTCACTAATATTGAACAGTATGTTATCTTTTGGCAGCTTTAAATACTATTATTTTTACTACTAGTTTAGGGGGGTTTGAGGTGAGCAGTATTTTTGAAAAAGATGAAAGATGGATGAACAGTACTTGCCAAGGGAAAGAAAGCACTTATGGAGAGAGATCCAAAAGCAGAAACACACCTGAACTATGGCAGTTCGGGAGGGGAGCAGATTTGTCAGTTATGAGCTCAAAAATAACCAAATTTTTTCAAATGGAAAAAGCAATTCAGAAGCAAGGCATCAAAGTGAGAAAATGAAGCAGGTACTTCCAGTAAGTACTATGGGATTTATTGGACTTCCACTGAAAAATGTGAAGTGACAGCACCCTGTCACAAAACAATGGAAATATGATTACAAGTGGAAGAATGAGACAAGAGGGATACACAAGACAGAAAGAATAAGTGGTATCATGTACACACACACCCCCACAGAGAAGTAAAGCCTGAAGGAAATTACTCTGCCAGGGAAGGGAAGAAAAGCAGATTTTATGCAAAGAATTACAGGTAATGAAAACTTGGAAAATACAATGAATGAAGTAAAGAAGAATTGTCCAGGTAAGAAAGAAATAGAACATAAAAAAGTACATTTACAATGTAGAAAGTAAGTGCAGTCCCAAACTCTATGAGAAAAAAAAGCAGAGCTATTAGAACAGAAACCTGTAAAACTTAACATGTCCTGTGAACTCAGGAAAGGGATGGACAGATTTATCCTTCAGCATCACCAGAGTTTTAACAGTGTTAGAAAACCCTCTTGTAATTCCACAGTATTTACAAATATAAAATGCTAGTTTCAGCTGGCCTTGCACCTCAATCAGAATATAAATGATTGCTTCTTTTCCATTTTGTAAATTATTCACATTATTTTGTAAATTGCATAACCTATGGAAAATAAACTAGGATTTTAACCCTTGATTCCTATACCTGCCACAATAGATCAAATTGAACATTTTCTAAGGAAAAATAAGATAATTACCTGTAAAAGTATTTTAAAAAATCCTTCTTTCTGCAGGTTCACTTCCTAGAAAAATTAGAAATGAATCATCTTCAGTAACACAATTCCTGCCAAGCATACAGTAACAACAAAATATTATCATAAGAAGCATGTAATTCACTTAAAGCAGGGAGAAGAAAAAAATAGGCCAACTTTGGCAACTTTTTTGAGATTTCATACTTAAGTTTTTTAGTGTTATTTCTGATTAAGTTTTATGTATTTATAACATCATGACCTCACATACGATTTCAGGGGGTTACCAATAAACGTGTAAATAAATAATTAATCAGGAGAAATTTTTATGTTGCTTACACAAGGAATAAAAAGTGGGGTTTTCTCCTTCAGAACTATATGCAGCAAAGGATAAAAAGGACTATGATTATGTCAGAAATAATAGATATGATGAGCAGAGTTCATTAAATGACAGAGGAAAGGAGGACTGATGCTAAAACCAAGAGTTCTGTGGTTTAATTTCTCTGTCAATCAGATTTGCCAATGAAAGTCATTCACTAAGAAACCATAACAACAGGTTCATTTCATATAAAAATTTCAGATTTACAAGGAAAACCAGCTTTATAAGAGCTATTTTGGAGAGCATTAATTCATGTAGTAAGCCAAACATTAGAGAGTGAGTGGATGCGAAGATCCAGCATTTTTCCAATCCTGAAAAAGGATACCTCTGTATACAAGGGAAGCATGACTGCAGTATGTAAAGATGAGCCTAAGCAAACTTTGTTGTGCTAGGCTGGGTACCAACATCGAAGCAGATTGTCCAGTACAGACCTCAGTGCAGGAGACAGCCATGGAAAATACACCAGGCTGTACTGACACCTAAATCTTTGCAACCTGACTGCTCTTGATGCTTTGGACAACTTTTTCTGTCCTACTCATCTGCATGAGCTGACCTAAAGCCACCAGACTGCAGCAGAGATATGCCCAAAAGCAAATGCCAAAGGCCTGCAGTGGAAGAATACTTGGAACTAATACTTGACACAACTAGTTACTGGGTATCTGTCCTTATCTTTCAGACAGTGTCACATTGAAACATAGGACCTAAAGGTAAGTGTAAGGTAACTGTGTGGCAATTTGATGTGAATCATCACAGAAAAGGATCTCAAAGAAGCACGCTTTCAAGAAGACCTTAAAATAGAGATGCCTCTTTGAGTAACTAAATGTTACACTGAGATGTTTATAGACATTATTTTGTTTCCTGGAGAGAGAAAAAAAGTGCTTTATTAATGTAATTATTTCAAGTTTTAGATGTACTAGTTGACTATCTCTTAGTCTCTGAACTATTGCTGAAATATATATCTATATTTAATAAACTAATGGCTTCCACAGATTTCTTAAGCACGTAATTACAAGTCAGGAAAGAAAGTCCATTTCATTTGATTCCTATAGAGTTGATGAATGATTTAATGTGCCTATGAAAATGCTTAAAATTCACAAAAACTTCTTAGCTTTCCCTTCAAAGTTCCGGACTTTAAGCAGCTCAAAACAGTAATTTATCAGCTGTTGAAGGTGATGAAACAGGGCTTCACTGATGTGTGTGGGGGGGGAAATAACGATCTTGTGGTTAAGACTTTGAACTGGGAGTTACGAGACATGGCCCTTAGCCGAAATTTCCTACAGATTTTGTATGTGACCTCTGCAAGTAATTTCACTTCTTCATGTTTCTAGGTATCTGTAAAAATGAGAAATTTTGTTCTCTCTCTCTGTCAGGAATTCTTATGAACCAGCATGTCTGATATGGCATGACACTGGGCTACCTTTGTAAAACTATAAATGGGAGCATCTTAGGCACTAAAATGGGTCATTTACCATGTGAAACTGTAATTGCCACACACAGAGAAAATTGCTAGTCATGACCTGGGAGTTATACGGCCTACAAGCCCTTCCAAGATAGCATTACATTTTACAGAGAATATCAATACCAATAGGACAGATTCCATTGCAATGTGCCAAAGAATGGTCCTTATCCTGTTGGAAGCATTAATGTTCAAGTCCTGGTTTCCCTTATGTCACTAAATAAAAGAGAATCAGGGAAAAAGCATAAGCACTGGGCAGCCACACATCTCTGTGTAAAGAAAAAGGAGTTTCTTCGGCCTGAATGCAGATCAGGTAACATGATTTTATATTGATTGCATTTTGCTTAAATAAGCACATTAGATACTCTCTCTCCTTTCTTACCATACTATAATAATACAATGATGATTTAAATTTAGCAGAACGCTGAGGAATTAAACAACATCATGTAAACAGTGACGAGACAGTTAAAACGAATCTGGATGATACTGTGACTAAGGAGAGAGAGGGCACTGAACTGCACAATTTCTTAAGAAGCTAAAAAGTAAAAAGCAAACCATTTTAATTTAATTCTTCTAAAGTAGATACATTTGATTATCAATGTTAATAACGTAACATGAAAGCAAACACTCAATATGACGATAGGCAGGGTGTAAGGTCACTGCAGAAAAAAATACAGTGCAAAATACAGTTGTGACTGGAAGCCTGGCCATCAAGGGCACGAACAAGAAGCTATTAATCTGATATGCAAAATACACTGGTTTGCTCCTCTGTTTCAACTGACAGCCACTATATCCCATACAACTGGAACAGCCTGGGGTTATTGTTGCCACTGCCTCTTTGTCACCTGGCACTTTCTATTTCATAGTATAAAGTGGGACATTTTGCATTTGAACTTCTGCTTCTGCTGCTGTGAGGGAGAATTTTGCAACTTTTCCTCTTATGTGGGTATTTACACCCAGGCCTACTCCATCAGTGATTTTCCCAGGAATACAAATGGTTTGGCACATGCTGTTTTTCCTTTGGGAATCCCATCCAAGGTGAATGAAGTGACAGCAGATGTTTGAAACAAATTTCTGTGCATTTTATCATGTAAAACCAGAAAGTGCAAACTAGGGTGGCAGAAGGTCATGTTATGATTTGTTCATTTATATTACTCTCAAGCACTCCCAGTGAATGAAATTCCACAACCTGGCTAGGTATCACTGATACTGCTTTATTAGAAAGCTTTTATTTTCAGACTACCAGGGTTTTTTTCCACCCCAAATTAGAAGCTGATTACTTTATGCTCCACTGATAGAGCTTCTCATCTTTCTGTAACAATAGTTTATACAGGAAGACATTATGTCCATTCAGCCTTCCTCCAAATCCAACTCTTTCAATATTACATACCTGCAAGTCACATTTTCTATGTTTCTACTCTTCTCTTCC